ACACATGCCTTTATTCTCCTGCATTCTATAAGGTCCCCACCCGAGGACCAGCCCTCTCGTGTGGTCCTACTACATAAGCCACCAGAGGCTCCTCAGATGATGTCACTTAAAAGTCCTAGTTGGAGAGTAAACATCCCACGAGATGTTCTGCCTCTTCTATAGGCTTTCTGCCACTTCTACATCCAAGCAGACAGATGCCACACCTAGGCTGGCAACTTATACTTTTGTTGTCCTCTAGGGGCAGCACATGGGAAAATATGTAGAAACTACTTGTTTTTAAGGAGTTTTGAAACAAAAAGTTCTTAAACAATTGACATTGAGACATTTTCACATGCATTTCTAATCTCTATATGCATGACTATCACTGGTCACAGTCACCCACCTTCTGAGCTCCTCGGCATCTGAGTATGAATACAAACTCGTCAGATAGACAGACTTCCTCTCCCACTAGAGGCTCCATACTCTGCCATCTCTGTCACTGTCCACTGTGTTGTCAGCACCCTCATCCATTCCCCCAGAAGGAAAATGAGGCATTCACCAGAAGGGGCCCTTATCAATCCTCAACTAGAATTATTATTGCCTTATTGTGATGGCACCAAATTATAACCAGACGCTAGGTATGTACCTTTTTTCTTCCCTTTCGAATGGGCAGCTTTAGAGCCCATTACCGAGTGTGGGGTTTTGAGAAATTGATCCTAACTTAAAGCTTTAATTAATTGCCCCACATCAGGCTACCAATAGATTAACGCTTCTGTTCTGGGCACCACTACTTTTATAAAAAATAAAAATAAAAAGCTGGAAATGTGAAGAAATGAGAGAGAATAAATGCACTCACATTTAAAATGGAAAGGAGAGGACAGGAACCTTTCCAAACACCACAGGGGAAAAGAACTCAGCATCTCTCCCATTTAAAGCATGCCCACCATATCCCCTGACCATTGCTGAGCTGTGTTTACATTTTAGCTTTTACTGAGCCTTACAACAAATCAATTTGGGATAAAGATACAGCCAAGGTTTCATATGATCACTACAGCCTTGATAATTATTTTTCTTCACTGCTGACTAGATTTACCAGAAGGGCAGACAGGGGGGAATGGATGAGGGTGCTGACAACACAGTGGACAGTGACAGGGATGGCTGAGTATGGAGCCTCTAGTGGGAGAGGAAGGCTGTCTATCTGACGAGTTTGTATTCATGCTCAGATGCCGAGGAGCTCAGAAGGTGGGCGACTGTGACCAGTGATAGTCATGTATATAGAGATTAGAAATGCATGTGAAAACGTCTCAATGTCAATTGCTTTGGAATGAATTCTTCTGTATGAAAAAAAAAAGTTGTGCTGTAAAGTATTCCTTGAGAAATGTTTATAATTCTATGAGAATGTAAATAGTTTCACAGTAATTGTTTTTCAGTTAGAATATTCTAACTTAATTGCAGCGCAGTCTCTTTAATTTCTTGTTCATTAATTTTTAACTAACTTCATAAAACAATAAGAATAAAAAAAATATGATTTATTTTAGAAAAAAAAAAAGTTCTTAAACAATGTATTACCTGACGGAATGGGGAAAAGAGGAGAAAGTGTTTCCTAACTCATTAAAAAAGTATCCCAGGACTGGGAGAGAGAGAGCACATGGAACCCAAGTCCCATGCCCAGAACTCACACAAAAAGCGTGGTAGCACATGCCTTTAATCCCAGCTCTCGGGAGGCAGAGGCAGGTGGATCTCTGTGAGTTCAAGGCCAGCCTGGTCTACATAGTGCGTTCCAGGCCAGCTGGAGCTACAGGGAGACCCTGTCTCAAAAAGACAAAAAAAAAAAAAAAAAAAAAAAAAAAAAAAAAAAAAGCCAAGCATGGCACATATTTGTACTCACAGCACTGGGGAGGCAGAGACAGGCAGATCTCTGGAGCCCATTGGCCAGCCAGCCTAGCCTAACTGGTGAGTCTAAGGTTCCTGAGGGAGACCCTGTCTCAAAACACATGGTAGACAGCTCCTGAGGCACAGCACCCAAGGTTGATTTCTGGCCTATACCACACACACACACACACACACACACACACACACACACACACACACACGAGTAGACCAGCAGGAATCTCAACCTGAGATGAATAAGCACTTACATGTAGAAACCTAGTTTGCTGCAGGTCTCAACCCCATCCTCAAATTCTTCTGTTTATTTTCAGTTGGTTCAGCACATGAAGTTCTCCCTGGCAAAGTCTACTAAGGAAGTCTGAAATGTGACTACAGTGGAGCTGGCTCACAGGAGGACCCTGTTAAATACATAAGAATGGTGGCTTCGATTATCATGATATTTTGCTTCCAATCAAGTCAGACCCAAACCTCCATTTTTATCTCCAAGCCCCCACCATCACAAGGAGGTAAAAGAAAATGGGATCGCAACCCATGGCACCTCCCTGCCTTTCTGCCTCACATACAACTTGCCTGCTCAATCTTCAGAGACTAGTAAAAGATGAACCCGTGTTATGATGCCCCAACATTAGTAAATACTTTATTATAATCATATGGGAAACAGACACAAAATTAAGACTCCCTGATTTATAAACTCTCATGTTATTTCCGGTACTGGTCTTTCATCACCCAAATGAAGTTATTCTTCATTTACTTTTAAGTTCCTCATGTTTGGTTTCAAAGCACTTTAATCCAGATGCTCATCTAAAAATACCAACACAGGTTGGTATTTTGTTACAGAGTTTGAAGACTCTCTAGCTTATTTTGGTTGGTCCGGATAGGTTCTAATCATTTAGTAATAATATAACAAGATTTTTGGAAATAAAATATTTGACTTCATTTTTTTTATTTTTAATCATGCACACGTGTGTGTGTGTGTGTGTGTGTGTGTGTGTGTGTGTGTGTGTATGTGTAAATGAGGGTACCCTCAGAGGCCAGAGGTACTGGATCCCCCTAGAGCTAGAGTTACAGGCAATGCAGGCAATTGTGAGCTGCCTGACATGGGTACTGGGAACTGAACTCACACCTTCAGCAAGAGGAGAGAGAGACCACTCTGAACCACTGAGTTGCCTCTTTAACCTCAGAGAGTGATTCCTTTACCTTAAGATTAAAAGGTAAAACACTCCAATCCATTGATGAAACATAATGGATTTATACTTTCTTGGATTTTAATTTATTTATTTTATATGTATGAGTGTTTTACCTGCACATATGGACATGCACCACATGTGAAATACCAACAGAGGTCAGAAGAGGGTGTTGGATCCCCTGGAACTGGAGTTACAGATGGTTATTAGCCTCCCTGTGGGTGCTGAGAACTGAACCTGGGTCCTCTGCAAGAGCAACAAGGGCTCTTGACTGCTGAGCCATCTCTCCAGCCTCTACACTTTATTTTTAAGAGCATATTGTCCACAGAAGGAGCTACAAAGGCTAAGGCAATACTAAAAGCAGACAGGGAAAAAAGTAGGCCTGAGAAGAGCAGGACTGCTCCATGCCATGGAACCATCTGCAGAACACCCACAACAAATGCTACTGCCTTCCCTGTTCATGGCATTTCTACAACTTACCCGAGTGCTTTTCCACAAAGACTTTTCTTCTAAGGCAAGAAACAAGGAGAACTTTATCTGTTTATACCTTTCTATGTCTCAACTGCTATCTCATGTGTTAAACAATCATTTAAGAATCCCTCCATCTGTGGTATCTCTAGGAAAGGAAGGTAGTCTGTTTTGAGTACTGTGCCTGAAATAAAAATTTTCCCTCAAGAAAAGTGACTCAGCAAATGTTATTGCTGTGTGTTAATATAAGCAATGGAAAGGGGAGACCACTTTCTGTTAATAGTGTTTTAGGCATCAATGAAAAGAAGGGGGTGTTGGATGAAGAAAGCTTCTCACGTTCCAGAAATGGTTACCTGGGTGGCTTGGTGGTGACAGGCCTACTGTTTGGAAGCTCATTTGACAGAGGGTGAAAAATGAGGCCTAGAGCAGTAAATCTCACTCCTGAGAAGGTCTTTTCCTTTGGTTGTCCTGCAGGTTCTGTGACTCCCAAAAGCCTCTGTTTAACTCAGTCAGGTTCAAGCACATTGGCCCAAATGAAGATGGCAGGAACAGGTAGACTTATCACTGTTACCCCTGCTTCTAGTCTGTAGGATTGACTTTCCACAATCAGATCCAAGCATGGATGCCAGTTACAATCTCTGCTTCATACATGGACCCCTAGAAGTCACTGGCTGGGAAGAAAAGCCCTGGATGTGATAACTATGGGCTTCACTCTAAGACCACAGAGCAAGGCCTGGACCTACCACCTTCTGGGTATGGAAGGGTCCTCACCCAGCTTAGATGTCTAAGGCCAGGGACCCTACAAGTCAGGCCAGAAAGCCCAGGGCTAGGAACCAGGGCTGACTAGACCTCAGAGCTGGAAGCCACATCCTTATTTTAGGAATAAATTGTGTTTCATAACTAGTAAGACGAGGAGCTCATTGTGATGTTTAATTAGCTAAATTCTTGTCACTGGTTTTCTCAATAAGCTAGTTCCCTGGTTTCTGGATTCTGCTATCTTTCTTACACAAAATAAGCTATATCATCTCCAGAACACTGATTTTTATGAACCTTGACAGTAGCACTGCCTTTACAGAGTACAATAAACAGAATCTTCTTTACATTTCTACAGCCTCAAAATTAAATTGAGAATGATTCCCTCTGACTTGCCACTGACTCACACATGATGAAAAGGATCTATGGTCCCCATGTGTACCAGCACATCCATATCTTTCTCTCGCAAGAGAATTCCTATTTTATTTATTTTTCTTGCAAACACTTTGAGGCAGAGTGTTAAAGTGATAGAAATTTCATGAGATTGACATTATTGCTTAAAGTGCTTGAATTGGTTACATTTTATATATATATAAAAAAAACAACTAAGATACAGATTATTTTAAATAAAAACTACAATTTTTTTAAAGCAACAAATCAAGTGAAAGCCACACACATACAGCAACTATTTTGGTTACAGAAATAGGAGCCCAGAATAAATTAATGTAATACTAGAAAACAGAAATTTAATTAGGCAGAAAAATAGGCAATAATTTTCTCTGACCCATGCCATTTGCATGAGCTAATCACAATGGTGCTGGCAAATGCTTTGACCAGGTAACAGCAAACCAGGGGAAACATTTAGTGCACAGTATTTTAATACACATGAATATACAAAGTTGATCAAAATGAAATGTTTAGAGATAAAATCCATCTGTAATAAAGCTACACTCCAGTATCTAAAATAAGCCCTAAGCGCCAGTTAGAACAGTTCCTAGTTTCATGGGCATGCCCATGAAATTAAGGGTCCCCATGGAAATAAACGCATAGGGACTGTTTCTGTCATTTTCCATTTTATGTTAAATCCAAAATATAACCAGGCCATAAAACCAAAAGGGAATGGCTTCCTATTCAAACCTATTCACACCCTGATTGTTTTGTTCCTGGCTCACTTCAAAATCAGTCCTCTTCATGTTGCCTTGGAATGGAAAACACATCAACATAACAGGACTGTATATCACCATTTTACCCAAATTCGCTTTTAAACAAAAGACTTGAGCACACTGTACCATAATCTAAATGCTAAACAGTGAGTAACCAATAAAGCAAACATTCCATTTTTTTAAGTGTAGAACACTTGTAACCTATTTTTAAATACCCAGCAATTAGAAAAATACAGCAGGCCTATGCACTCCTGCTGCTAAAAAGAACCATCCCCCCCCCATGAGGGGCTGCTGCTGGGTCTTTGTGCTATCGCTGTGACAACAGAATGGCTCACATATCATACCACCATCCTCTGCTGGATGCTAGGAATGAGGGATAAGTTAGAACATGATTTCCCAACATAAAAATGATGGGGGGAGGGATGACATAGCTGCCTAGTGTTTGTTTTGTTTACTGAAGAAGTAAGTGATTTCCAAATAGTTCTGAATCTTTAAAAATTGATGGAGTATTGATGGAGAATGTGCTTGGTTTTAGTACAACCTTCTTTCCTGCACCACACAGCCATTTGACTCCTTGTGCAATTTTTTTCCATACTTATCCTTTTCTACTCCAAAAATCTATCCACAATACTGAATTTTAATTTTCATTTTTCTATTAAAAGCAAAGATTTCAGTTAAAGTACTGAGGAAAACTTTACATGCTACAAAAAAAAGGGAAAGAAAAATAAAATATGAGCTGAAACTGTAACAGCATTGAAGGCTTCCAGTTGAAACACTGTTGTCTAATAAATTAGCTTCAAGAGTTTTTTCAAGATAATTTTAATAGTTTTTCTCTTATGAATCAATTCCAAATATATTAGAGATCAATCATCATTCTCTTAACCTTTGTAACTTGCAATCAAGTATTTGGGCTCTGTGTGGTACAAACATTTCTCTACATCAACGACCTTCATTTGGAAAGCGCCTCTTCTTAAAGAACAAAGGCTCATTTCCCAGGTAAGTAATTAATACATATGTTTCATGGAGGGGAAAAAAAGACAAAATATTTATAAATACGAATTTGCCTCTCACCAAGGTAAGGTACATTTTCATCAGTTGCATAAAACAATAGTATGAGGATCACCCTGTTTTGGCTTCTCCAGTGAAGAGTAGAACATTTCACTTCAAGCATGGACAAATGAAGTATTGGCATGCTTAGGTTCTGAGCAAGAAACAGTTCAAGATATTTCAAAAATAAGAAATCCAGTTTTCATCTAGATAAAGTGCTATCCTCTTCATTGTTGCAAAATGGCCACTGACAGTTTCAATTTCAGTTTTAGTTCACATTATGCCAAGAGTTTGCATGTTTGCTCGCTGATGTGTTAGGTAACAACATAACATGTTCACAGTATATTTGAGTGTATGGAAGTCAACTGATGACCCCCAAAGCCAAGATCTGTGACTCATAGCATCTGTAGGAAATTCAAAACCAGCTGAACGGTAAAACACCAAATTGACCCTTTTAAGAGAAGGTACCAATATTCAAATGCTCTAATAAATACATACATAACAAAAGTGAAAAGTAGTGAGATGAGGTTCTTCCAAAAACTCTCTTGTCAAGCATTCTAGGTATCGGAGCCAGAGAAACAGTCGCCATCTTGTTCCTCCCTCCACCCACCCCCCAACACTTCCTGTGACTGCCTCACACCCAGCTCACTCCAGCATTCCCTCCAGGGAGGGTTTGTTTTAGCCCTGGGACTTGCCAGTGCCTCCGTAAACAGACTGAGTATGTTTAAAAAAAAAATTAAGCTGTACAATCTGCTGATGGTGGTCAAGGTGTAGAGCTTTTGCTACTCCTGATCCAGGATGTCAGTGCTGACCGGCTAATGGGAGTTACGCCAAGGCAGTCAAGATGGGGTCTCAGCCCTGAGACCACAGACTGCAGAACATCAGCAGGATTGGAAAGATGACTTGGAAACTTTAGCAGTGCCAGATATAGGATAAATACAAATACAACTACAGGACCTGACAGAAGAAAAATGTCACCCAAAATGAGTTATTTTCCTGAAACTTGGGTTTTGGTAGAAAGATAACAAAAGCAACTTTGCACTGTCCACAAAAACTTCCTCTTGGCCTTGCCTGCCCTGAGCTCCATAACATCTTAGCCCCTGGAATTCGAATGGCTAGGTAAGCACAGCCCAGTGCCAACACTAGCCACCACAAACAGCTCTTCACCCTCTTCCACTGTGAAGGATGAATATTTCAGTATCGAGGTCACTCACTTCTAAACATTTTCACTTTCACAAACTTAAAGCTATAGTTGCAGCCCTAAAAAGTGAGCATCTACCTACCCAATCCTTCTGTCAGAAGAAGCTGACAAGCTAACAGTGGGAAGGAAGACTTCCAAGGACACGTTAAAGGAATGCATGGGAAGGACATCCCAGAAATCACTTAGGAAGTCCAGCAAACACTCAAAATGGACTGCGACATTCATAGGAAACGTCATTCTAATTGAGCCAGACACAATGAGTGGCAGAGCCTTCACCCAAACCTTAAAAATTAGCAACTGTTATTCATATAAATCTTACTGATTGCAGTTAACTCTACCTCAGACCAAAATAAACCCAGGAGTAGTGCTACATGTAGAAGCACAAGGGAAGGAAGTTTAACATGGTCAGACCAGTGAAAATCGGAGTGATTACATTAGTGGACCACTGGGGAAGGTCTGCAGACAAACAAGGTAATAGTGCTTTGAATATTTTCCCCCACTTGGATTAGCCCCAAGTCCTTCAGTTATTCTCTTGATTGATAGAATAAAATATATCCAGATTCTGAATTTTTTGATATATCTGATGTCAGGCCATAGAATTCTTCAATAGCTTGAGCATCTATTTTCTGCAATGAAAGAAAAAGAAAATGATGCAATTAGTTACTATGATTCATGAGAAAACAAACTCGAAAATGTAAGAAACCTGAGTTGGTATAAAGCCACAATCGAACTTTTGTTTTGTTTTGTTTGGGGGTTTTTTTGTCTTTTTTTGAGATGGGGTCTTCCTGTAGCCCCAGCTGGCCTGGAACTTGTACACCAGGCTGGGCTTGAACTCACAGAGATCTGCCTAACTCTGCCTCTCAAGTGCTGGGATTAAAGGTGTGTGCTACCACACCAGGCTCACAATCAGGAACTTGATTTGACAGATATAAATTCCTGGGGAAGTAAACAACTGTTTCATCTTATAATAATCATAGATGGATACGCTTTGCAAAAGCTAGGAATTCTACCTTTCAGGTAGCAAACTGAGGGGTCTGGGAGTGATCTCAAGTCTTTCAAGCCATCACAGTTCATTTTCTATAGTGTTTATTCTAAGACAGTGGCCCTAGTGGGTTAAAACAGATTTCGCTTTTTTGAGTATGAATTCATTGCATGCTTGGCTGTAATATAAAGACTTCCAGGTGCAACAGAGTAAAAGAATACATTTTAAGAATCAATAAAATAAAAATTCATGTCTACATAGTGAGTTCCAGGACAGCAGGGGCTACAGGGAGACCCTGTCTCAACCCGCTCCCCCCAAAAAAGAAAAATTCATTAGAATAAAAGAATCTAAATAGAACTCTGGTTTATTACTCGCCCTGTATCAGAGACATGGTGGGAAACTGGACTCATTTGAGTTCTATGGAGGCACAGAGATTTAAAAATGGTAGTCTACAGTGGATCATTTAACAACAGTCACAGTCCCACACATGCCCAATCCCATCTCTACCCTCTGCCTATGTGAGAATAATCTGTACCAACCTCTACAATGTCATCATCAAATAAAAGCCAGAAGCCATGACTTTTCACAATGGTAATATAATGCCCACGGTTAGGACCACTGGAAAAGAACAGATAAGAGAAAGTTAGCAGGTAAGCATTTACTTCCTTATAAAACTCTGCCCAACAGTGGCTCACTATAGCAAAAATCTAACGTCATCAAGTATAGACAACACAATGGCACAGACCTGTACTCTGAGCAACTCAGACACTGAGGCAGGAGTTCAAATCCAGCCTGGGCATTATAGAGACAGGCTGTCTCCAAATTAAAAGAACTCTGGAAAAGTGTCTGTCTAGATTCACAATTTAAGACTGAGCTACTAGGGAGATAGAGATATATGAAAGGGATGTCTTCTAATGGCTCACAATCCAGTGGGTAAAACAGACATTCATTAATATATACTGTATGCTTTACTGTGTGCCAGAAAAACAGTGACCAAAACAAAGTCCTCATCTCTCAGGACTTGGTGCTATAGGTTTGGATATGAATACCAAAGTTCATGTGTTACACACTCAGTTCTCAAGGCAACAAGAGCTGAAAGGTAGAACCTTTGTTTCTGGTTTAGTTCTTGTTTTGTTTTGTTTGTTTTTGAGAAAGAATTTCGATGTGCAGAGAAGGATCACCTTCAACTCAAGGACCTTCAGCCTCATGAGAGTGGGTTTGTTACAAAAGTGAGATCAACCTCCTTTTTCCTGTTTTTCTTGCACTCTCCCATGTGATACCTTCCATCATGCCCTGAGGTGGGGAAACAACCCAACTCAGATGCAGTTTCTGGACCCTGAACTTCCCAGCCACCAGAACTAGAAGCCACATAATCTGTTACTATAGGTTACTCAAACTAGTATTTTGTCATAGCAATACAAAAGGGACTGGGACTTTTGGGGGTGGGGGTCAGATAGGCAATCAATGAACTAAACCTAGAAATACATGGTCATAAGTGCATGAAGTAGAGTACAACAGGGTGCTGCGAAAGCATTTCTTGATAAGCAACAGTAAAAGGGGGGCTTGCTGATATGTGTGACCTATGAAAGCAATGAGGTGGGGTGGGGGAGAAAAGTCATGTGACTGTATGATGGAAGTTTCAGAAATAGTAGAATACAAATACACAGGCCTAGGGCAGGGATCAGAGCAGCTGGAGCTAAATAATCAGAGGGTAGGGGAGTTGAGGGGAAAGGCACAGGCCTTTCCTGAACATACTGCAGTGGCTACGGTTTTTGTCTTTGCACTGAGGATGCTAGGAAGATACCGGGGAATTCTGAACAGAGACCTGATCTAAATTTCAGAAGGATGCTAGCAAGCCAGAATATCACACACTATACAAAAACATAAAAAGTCATACTACATAATAGATTTGCTCAAAACAGAGATTTTAATCCTAAATCTAGGATTTTTTTTTAAATACACCACTAAATTTGAAAAGCTGAATTCTATCCCCAGTATCACTCTGTGTGTGTGTATGTGTGTGTGTGTGTGTGTGTGTGTGTGTGTGT